AAAAAATGCATGATTTTTTTTAATTACCAGTTCACTGCTATTGCTACTACTGTTTTCCATATTAAAATTGTATTTTTGTTGCTTACTTATACAATGAGTGATTAAATATTCAACAACAGGTGTTTTTAGATGCTTTTTTCATTATTTCAGGAATTTGGTTTACTAGAAGTTATTAAATGATCCTATACCATAGTGATCTATTTATATTTTCTTTTGTCAAGTTATCTGCCCTGGGACTAACATATTAAAAAGTGATTCCAAACTTTTGAATAGTAGAGTACCTGGGTAATAGGTCTATATTATCTACAGTATTTAGATTTAGATTTGTTATTAAACGTAATTAGTTTGATATGGAAATACAGATATTCAAACTCATGATAAATTGCAAAGAATTTTCGGAAAAGCTTCAGAGATAATTGGAATAGCTCTTCCTTCAGCTGACTCTGTTTATACTCAGTGCAGACTTAAGCGAGCAAAAAGAATAATTACCGATTCCTCTCATCCAGTGTATCTTTTCTTCTGGGAGGCACAGCAGATTTTTAAAAACTGAGACAACCTGCTTTAAGAACAGCTTTTTTTCTGCGCATCACAATAGTATGTCTGCGCATCATTATAGTATGTCTGTAAGATTTCAAGCCTTTGTAAGAATGCACACATAAAATTACTGTGTGATTTTTCATGATTCTGCAGCACTAAATGTTGTATATTGTACTGTATATTGTTTATTGCAATTGCGTTATATTGTGCATCTTGATTCACCGGATACAATTACCACCGTGACATTGTGTACTATATAAAAGAATCAGTGAATCAGTAATGCTGACAACAACAACTTTCAAAGCCATTCTTTAAAACAAATAATGATCATTTTCAGAGCATGTTGGTATGCATCTGTTGACAGCTCACTCAGTTTCCGTTGCCCATGACACTATAAAACTAACATCGTTACGGCTGTTCTAGATGAGGAACCAATCATCAAAGAAAAACTTTTGCAACTGAACCTTTTATCAACTATGGATTTTTGCATGTATGCAAATCAGGGTTATTATAGTTCACGAAAACTATTACTAAAACAAAAACTATCAATATAAAATATGCTCATTAACTGTAATAACAACACAAACACTAAACAAAAGCTATAATATTCACTGTAACACTGACTAAAACTAAATAGAATTAATAGAATAAAACTTAAGTTGTAATTTTTTCAGTCTGTAAATGAGAGAAGTGTTTGGTTTTTAAAGAAAGCGTTGTCTTAATTTTATTCTACCTTTATTTTACTAAAACTAAAACAATAATGCACCCTTAAAACTAATTGTAATTAAACTAAATTCAAAAACCAAAATGGGAAACTAAATAAGTATAAGTATATTTAAGTATAAATAAGTATAGTTCTATATAGAACCACGAACACATTTGCGTGCTTAAATGGTTCTTTGCATGGTAAATTGGTTCTTCTGATTGATTGTTATGATGTCAAGCTTGTATCAATAGCAGAACCCTTTTTGGTGCTATATAAAACTATTTTCAAAAAGGTTTTACATAGAACCATATACAACACATTCTCAATCAGTCTGGAGAACGATTTCACCATGTAAAGAACCATTTAAGCAAGCAAATGCGTTTGTGGTTCTATATAGAACTATACTCGTTTATACTTAAATATACTTATAGAACCACTGTTTATACCAAAAACCCTATTTTAAAAGAATGAAATAAACCTGATGCAAATGTAACCTACATGCGTCATCGTTACTCATTATTTATGCTGCTCTATCAAAGTTTAAGCTAAATGCTGTGCTGGAACAATCCAGAACCACAGTGGATTTTCAAGAGCACCTATTTAGGTATGTTTAGCAGAAAAAGTCTAGCTTATTTGCGTATATTTATTCGGGGGGCCTCCGAGACATGAGGCGCACTCAGTAAGCGTCCAAATTCTTTCCTATATTAAAGTTATGTAACTTCCACTCTGATGTCAAGTAAACAGAAAAAGGGCATTATGTTGATACCGGGGGACATGTCTCATTGTCTCCTTGTCTGATTTGTCTGATTGGAATACAGTTCCCAGGGAACATCTTACACCCACACACACACTAAAGGTTTCCTGTTCAACCTTTCCTCCCAGAACAGGATGAGGTAGGATTCCACAAGCAGCTGTCGGCGAACCGGGAAGATCCTCTGCCGACTGGGAATGTCAGGAATCCCACAGTCCTCAGGGTTCCTGCACTCCTCCTGACCTTTGGTGGGTATCATCCCATGTGAACAGAGAATATATTTCCATATATTTTTCAAAACATGTGCCAAGATTGTAATATATTTCCATATACATTTGACATATATTTAAATAAATATTAAAAATTGACACAAGTACATGTTTCATCCACGTGTGCATATTGTCACTGTCTGAACAGAACTTTGTATCTCCAAAAATGTAACGTTACAGAAGGAAAAACATTCTTAACTTTTAAAGTAAGTTAATGTACAAATTATTTATTCTGTATAATTTTGGACGACCATTACATTTTGAAAGTGTTTAGGGCAGCTGACAATTTCTAATTATTTATAAAAAAATTAAAAGTGACAAAAATGGAGAAATGAGGTTTTGTTATGACCACTGAGACATTTCAATATATTGACATATGTGCATATATTGGCATATATTTAAATATTCCAAAATGGCAGAGTTTTATATATATATATATATATATATATATATATATATATATGTATATATATAAAACATACACCACTTTATTCAGTACACCTACCCACACTTTTTCCATTTTATTTTTTAAGTTCTTCAATTACGGACTGTGGTCCATCCGCATACTTTGCTAGCCCCTTCTGCCGTGATCTTCAATGGTCAAGACCCCCACAGAGCAGGTATTATTTGAGTGGTGAATCATTCTCAGCACTGCAGTGACACTGACGTGGTGGCATGTTAGTGTGTATTGCGCTGGTACGAGTGGATCAGACACAGCAGTACAGCAGTGTCCACTCACTATCCACTCTGTTAGACACTCCTACTTTGTTGGCCTACCTTCTAGATGTAAAGTCAGAGACGTATTAGCTCATCTGTTGCTGCACAATTTGTGTTGGTCATGCTCTAGTCTTTCATCAGTGGTCACAGGATGCTGCCCACAGGACGCTGTTGGGTGGATATTTTTGGTTTGTGGACTATTCTCAGTGCAGCAGTGACACAGAGGTGTTTCAAACTTCAGCAGCACTGCTCATACTCTTAGAGAGGTTCTTGTTTTAAGTCTTGGTTCCTCTCAGTGGTTCTTTCTCGTGCTGTTAGGCAGTATCTCCTTTTGAGTCTCAGTTGTTCTCAGTGGTTCTTCTTCATGGTCTTAGGGAGGTTCTTCTTTCCAGACTTGGTTCCCCTCAGTGGTTCTTCGTCATGCTGTCTTATGGAGGCGAAACAAGGAGGTGTACTTAATATAGTGGCTGGTTGGTGTATATTGCACATATATGTGTAAAACATGTAAATATATATGTACATTTAAATGCACGTGTGATTGTTGGCCTAGATCACATGCTAACTTGGACTGGTTAGCCTTTGCTGTATTTAAATGCATACAAATACAATGCTGTATTTGACTATATGCAAATACATTTCAAATAGTTGCTGTGAACTTTTACAGTGATGATACCAACTTCCCAAATCTGACAGAATGAACTGGTTTTATAAAGTGGATTTAGATTGCTTTCATTTTTGCAGTATCTCTAGTACTTTGTACCGTTTTGGGTTCCACTGTTTGCGTATTTTGTAAGTCACTATGGGTAAGAGCGTCTGCTAAATGAGTGAATGTAAACGATATACTGTATACTAATTGTACCTACAGCAAAATACAGTTAAATGTTTCCACTGTTTAATCTGTATTGTAATCTTATCCTACTTGTATCCTTACACAATCTTGTACAGTCCAGAGGAGAATGGGTTCTCCTTTTGAGTCTTGATTTCTCTCAGTGGTTATTCCTCATGCTCTCTTATGGAGGTTCTCCTTCTGAGCCTCGATTCCTCTCAGTGGTTCTTCCCCATATGCTTAAGTTCTCCTTTCCAATCTTGGTTTTTCCTCATGCTCTCCAAGAGGTTCTTCTTTTGAGTCTCGGTTCCTATTAGTGGATCTTCCTTATACTCTTAGAGAGAATATCCTTTTGAGTCTCAGTGTTTTTCCTCATGCTCTTAGGGAGATTCTTGGTTTCTTTCAGTGTTTCTTCCTCATGCTCTTAGAAATGTCCTCTATTTGAATTTCAGTTCCTATCATTGATTTATCCTCATGCTTTTAGAGAAGTTCTCCTTTTGGGTCTTGGTTCCTCTCAGTGGTACTTCCTCATGCTCTTAAGAAGGTTCTGCTTTCCACTCGTGTTTTCTCTCAGTGGTTCTTCCTCATGTTCTTAGAGAGATTCTCCTTTTGGGTCTTGCTTCCTCTCAGTGGTTCTTCCTCACGCTCTTTATGAGTTTCTCCTTTTGAGTTTTGGTACTTCTTATTCTTTTATCCTGTCAATTATTTCCTCCTGTGACACTTCATTGGTCATTGGGGAGTCTTTCGTAAGTCCATTTTCTGCCACTGATAAAGGACAAGGTGATCTATCACGATGTTTCATCTGTGAAGAGCTGATTTGTGTTATTTAAACAAGCAACTGATTTTTTCATGTAAGAATTTAAAATAAGCCCACACAATATTACCTTTGGGTTAAAAGAATTGATAATAAGCCACCAGACAATTTGGCTGTAAAGAAATTGGAATCTGCCCTAAAAAAAGATGTGTGAGTAACAGCAAAGCAGCCCAGGTGAACCAAACAAAACAGAATTAAAATTAAACTCAAATTGGAATTAGAAGTGCTAATGGCCAAAAAGGGACTGACTGTTCTTTTTCTCACAAATATACTTGAGTAGAAGCAAACATATTAGCATCTAGCATCCATTTGTGGTCCTCATCAACATAAGAACGTTTGGAGAAGGTAAAAAATGATGGGTATTAAAACCATCTGTCAGGGAGTTGATTTAAAAATGGTTGTCAGTTCGATTGCAAAACCTGTTACAAAACCTGGGAGACGATTCATCGCTCTCCTAAGGAGCTAAAAGCTGCACCCTTCTCCGTTATTTGACAGTAAGCCCTTGGACCACCTGATCTTGGATCAGTCTCAGGCACAGATTTGCAAAGCAGATGATTTTTTTCGCCCCCCTGGTGGTGACGACAGGTATAAAAAAAAAGGTTTCAGTACTCCATCGAACTGGGCTGTGTAAATTATTAAATTATAACCTAAAATCACATTACCACAGATGAGGTGTGATCTTCTTTGTGGACGAGTTCAGCAACATCAGCCGGAGCAAAGGTCAGGAACACCTATCCTTTTACCATATTGGCATCCACCATAAACATACAGTAATGTGCTACCATAATTTTTTTTGTGATATAAATTATTTATTTACATTTACAGAAAAAAGACCCCATCGAGACAAACAAAGAAACTATTGGAAATATTACCCATACATAACCAAATAGCAGGACTTGTCCTAACGTGGTGTCCTAATATCCTCTCAGGTTTTGTGTCCTGTGCCACAGGTGCAAGGCATCGCGTGTTGTCCCCTCCGTTCCTCCCCTGCAGCCACACCATGGCCACCCCCCTTCCTCCCCTCCCCTCAGCAGAGTGGTCTGGCGCGGTCCGGTGTGGCTATTGTGTCCCTACGTCCTCACGGTTCTCTACGTTTTGCCATGGTTCTTTGTTCCTGGCGCTTAGATGAGGCGGGTGGAGGCGCGCAGGGTGTTCTCCGAGTTATAGTGCGTGACGTTTTGCTTTTGCCGGTTGATTCGATTAGTCCGTGGGCACTTCCTGTACAGAGCGGAAAATGAGAAAAGGGTCGCTCATTGACTGGGAATTCATATTCATAAACAACACATCCAAACCAACACACAACCAACAGTGTATATGTTTATGGAAAAGTCTTTTAATTTCAAAAATTCGATTAATTGGTAACCAAAATTCATTCAGAGTGGCTTGGTGTGAAATGCGCTGTTCTAGAGATATTTACAGAGTTAGAATTGTTTACAGCGGTGGTGATAGGAACCAGACGTCCACCTCTAAAACACACAAAGTTGAAATAAAATTTTGGAATAAAATGTATTTTTTCTAAATACACTCATGGTAGAGGGATACATGCTGGGCATTGTGAGGCAAAATGACAGCCTCAAAAGAAAACATATTTTTCAGATTTACCACTATTATCAACACTACATATAAAAGTCATATAAAATAATTGTTCATAGTGGTGGAGATGGGAACCAGACGTGTAAAGCTTTTGACTCTAAGAGCCACCTATTTTTAAGAGTGTACTCTGAATTTCGTATGGCCTTTAAACTTTCCTCCTAGTAATGAGCAGTTACAGTGGTCCTGCCTATGGTCCTGCTTGTGTGGGTGACTGTAGATGTGAATAAGAGTAAGTGCAGGAAAAAAATAAGTGAAAACACTACATTTCAATCAGCTTGGACAAAAGTGATCTTTGGGTGGTACGAGGCATGTACAGAGCTATGCTAACGGAATGAAGCATGATGCAACTTTTAAAGCAGAACAGTCAAAAAACAGTAAAAAAACAGCACAGTTCTTTCTGCCTCCTAAAGCACAGCAAAATCTTCCACCAAACAGATGATAAGCTTGGCAACTCTGTACAGGCAGATGTGTGTGATGTATTTGTATTGTGAAATGGAAGCTCACTAATCCTGTACTGCCATCTAGTGGTACAATCATGGTATATATGTAAGTGCAAAACAGTGACTCTGTTTTTAAATAACCTGTTTTTAATTAATACTGCCTATACACATGGTTAGGAGCCCCAAAAGGCTAGCAGTACTGATTATAAAGTGAAAAATTAGGTGAATGGTGTTAAATGGTCAGATATTTAGATGGTCTGTAGATATGCATTTTGTAGATGTGTGTTTTTGCCTCTACAGTTGTCTGTAAATGTGACATACTCTGAGATGGCAGACATGCTATCTCACATTTACAGACAACTGCAAAGGTAAAAATGCAGCGATTGTAATATATATATGTAATATAACTGGGGACAGCTATGGATTAGTCCACTTATTTATTTCATAGCGTCTTGGTACAAGAAGCTAAAGGCTAGACGCTGCCCTTTTAGCTTTAGAGGCCTTGGCAGATGCGGTCCAGCTTCATTCATTCATTGATTCATGTATTTATCTATTTTTGCTTGAGGATCTAAAGTATTCTTGCCATTTTGCTCTACAAGTGAGCCCCATTTAATAAAATGAGCCCCATAATAAAATATGCTAATGCTGCATTCTAGTAGTGTTGAAAACTGAGAAATATCAGTTTTCGAACTTGCAAATTGTGGCATTCGGCAAAGATGTACTTTCAAGTGGGAAACTCTGGCCATCATTGTCGTTATTCTACACCTTCCATTACTGCATTATCCTGAGTAAAGTTCATTAGATAAGCAATGGCTGAGGGGCAGAGTGAACACAAATGTTGATATTAGCAGCAGAACTCCACCAAAAATCACTGCAACCTGATGCATTTCTCAAAAGTAATGTACAAATCTGTTTATAAGCAATAGCAGTGAATTACTCTAAAATACTTAATATTTCAAAATATGTGCCATAGAAGAACCACTTTTGGTTACCCACCGAACACTGAATGACTCTATTTTTTGTTTTGTTTCTCATTATTTGTTTTGTTTCTCAACCACTGAATTATGCAGAACATTTGCACAAATGGTGGAATTCCCCTTTAAATGTTTTAGATGTCTGGTTCCTATCACCACCACTGTGAATAGTTCTAACTTCAGAATGGTGCATCTTACATCAAACCAGTCTAACTGAATTATGCAGCAATGTAGAAAAATCTGTAGGATTCCCTTTACATGCACAAAAGAGCAATATTCAGATGCAGGATTGCTATGTGTAGGTGTCATATCATGGGCTGTACACTATTTATGGTGTTTCTTTTGGTGTGGAGATGCAGAAGGGGGGCCAATACTCCAAGGTCCTGTTGAGATATTTAGTTTTTCTCCCACTTTTCATTAATTTCTGCAGCTTTTGTCTATATTTGTGCTGACCTTGCCTTAGCCAATCTGCTCACAGATCGACAGACCCGCCAGGAATTCTCCGGCTGCTCCAGATGGCTGGTCCACTACTGCGTCCATCCATCCGGTGAATTGATCTGGGAGTTCACGCTCCCCCTGGTGGTCCTCTGTGGTATGTGCGGAGCGTCTTTAAACCAACCAATTGTTCATTTGGAAGGTTATTCAGGAGAGGAGGGGATTTAAGTTTAATCGCTGCACAGGCACCCCTATCTGCTGACCTTTAGCTGAGTGTTTATTCAGAGGCCTCCCACCGGAACTAAACACGCTCCCAATGGAGGTCATGCTGTGAAGACCTGTGTGTGTGTTGCCTTCTCCATATGACAGAGTGTGAACTGAAGAATTTTAAAGGAGAATGATGTGAAGATTTACTTTTGTGTGTGCTTGTGTGTGTATTGCAAATAACTGGGAAAATCTTGCTGCCTTCTGGAATTTCCAGAATAATTTTCATTCACTTTTCAATTTTTTGTTTAAAAACCTTCAAATATTTTGATCTTTCTTTAATGAAAGGCTGATTGTGAAAGGCGAAGCTGTGTTGAATCTGATGACACTGTGAGCTGAAGGAGATCAGCATTACTGTAATGCCCATGAACATAGCAAAACTGATGCGTGTCCATTATGGTTCTAATTGAATCAATATTGATTGTGTTTTTCTCACAACTTTAAGTCAACTGAAGTTGTGAAACAGTTAACATTATTAAGTCATAATTTCTAGTTAGAACATATTGGACATACTGAACATATTGAAAAGATATTGAAGGCGCTGTGCTTTTCTATGCTACTGCTTCTGAAAAATACTTCTTTACAGTAACACTGTGTTTGAGAGTGTGCGTATATATCTATGTGAGTGAGTGGACCTACCGGGTGATACACAGCACCACCACACAGATGATGGCCACCTGCAGAGCTCCGATGATGGAGGCAATGAGGACGTAGCGAAATTTTCCAGAACCCGGCACCACATACAGCACATTATACTCCTTGGTGTCACACTGTGGGCCACTGTAGCCTGAGTGACAGCTGTGTGGACCAATCAGAGAAGAGGAAGAACCCACAGGAAGAACAAGAACAAATATTAAAGAAATAGGTTGGCAAAAAATTTACAGTGTTTACCTCAAATGTAGCAGATCAGCCAAGACGTGTCTGAAGTTTCTTCTTTAGAGTTTAGAAAAGCTTATACCCCACCAGTTAGCACTGTGCAAACTGCATGGCAGAATCATCAGACCTTTATCTCAAACCAGAGGCATACCTTCTGGGCGGGAGCAATCCCATACATTTGTATAATTAAAGGGTCTGAGGTAAGGTTGTTTTTGCTTTGAGGCTCGAGCACTTGTAAGCTGTGCAAGCTCTACTCTGTCATTGCTGTTATTGTTGTTGTTTTAGTGATAACAGTGTAAAGGCCACCACAAAACGGATGTGAGACGCTGCGTGGTATAGCATCATGTAGCATAGTGTCATGTAGCAGAGGGCTGCTTTAGAATTCCAGCAGGGAAAGCTGATAAACTGCAGGTTCATGTTCATTTTTACACCCTACACATATAATTTGAATGAAATACAGCGTATCAGTTCACTACCTCTTCAAGATGGAGGATATTAGCTGAAAAAGGCTATGACAGAGAGCACGTCACTGCGAGCGACAGAGAGCAAGTCACTGCGAGCGACAGAGAGCAGCACACCTTAGAACTTCAGATCGAGCAGCGTCCAAACTTTACTTGAAAATTAGCTGAAAATTCTGCAGTTAGCAGGCCGCTAACCCCCCCACGTCTCTCCCTCTTATTTTTGTCTTCTCCCCCTCTCCTTCTCTATCTCTCTCACAGTTATTCCCTCAGCCCATCCACCATGGCGTCCGCCCAGGAACGCGCCCTCCAGACCCTGAGCTCAGAGTTGGCCCAGTTGGCAGATCACCGCCCTCCTGAAGAAGCAGGACGAGCTCCTTCAGCGGAAGTCGATGCTCGAAGCCACCCGGGAAGTTTCCCCCTCGGTGGTTGCGCCAGCCTCGTCTTTCCGCACGCCTGGAGACGCCGTTCTCACGCCAGCCCCGCATGGTCCCTGGGAACGCCAGCGCCGCAGAGGGCCTTGCAGACCCTCACCTCCGCCCCAGCCGATCTTCACCTCCTGCAACCGTTTCGCCACCCTCAGTACACCGCCTACACCCTCACCTATGTCCCGGGCCTCCTCGCCGCCCGCCCCAACGCCCCGGACCTCGTCACCCGCCCCGGCGCCTCGGCCCTCTACACAGGACTCCGTTTACGTTATTGGTAGTTCTATTGTCCGCCACGTTAAAGTAAAAGGAATAAACAGCCATGCCACTGTTTCGCTGACCGACGTAGTGAGGTCCTGAAGGAGCACTACCAGACGCTACTGGACACCGCCAGGAAGAAGACGGACGCCAGGATCGTCATCTCCGGACCGCTTCCCACCTACAGGAGGGGATCCGAGCGGTTCAGCAGGCTCTTCGCGCTGCAGTCCTGGCTCTGCGGCTGGTGCGCCCTCGTTTTGGGAACAGCCAGCGGTCTACTGGAAGGATTGGCTTCCACCCCAGTCGCATGGGATCCATAGTTCTCTCACGGAACAGGGCCATCCGCTGACTCCAGAGTGAAGGCCATGTAAGTAGCGTCAAAAATAGAAACGCTACAGCTCATAATGCTAGTGTTACTGCTGAATATAAGGCGATTGCTAGCACTTATACTGCAAATAGGGCAACTGCTAATACAAATACTTATTCTATAAATACAAATGCTCATAGGTTTCTCCCAATAGAGACTGTGTCTGTTCCCCGAATAAAACAAAGCATCAAAAAGCCTCGAAAGGTTTGCTTCAGTAACTTGATTAATATCAGACCAGTTATACCAGTTTGCAGTGACAGCACCTTTGGTCTAAAACTAGGACTGCTTAACATAAGATCCCTTACTCCTAAAGCCGCTGTTGTAAATGAAATTATTACCGATCATGGTTTTGATGCTCTGTGCCTCACAGAAACGTTGATTAGACCTTATGAATACTTCAGCCTAAACAAAGCCACACCCCCAGACTACAGCTATGCACATAGCCCTTGTTTAAGCGGCCGAGGTGGAGGTATAGCAACCATCCATTCTAAAGCTTTAGGCGTGAGCCAGAAAGTAGGCTATACATTCTCTTCTTTTGAAGTTCTTTTTCTTAATATAAGTGATCAAGGAACAAATAAAAATTCATTTGCACTAATTACAGTCTACAGGCCACCAGGGCCGTATTCTCAGTTCTTACAGGAATTCTCTGAGTTTCTATCAAGTCTAATAACGCTTTCAAATAAAATAATAGTTGTCAGAGATTTTAATATCCACTTTGACAATCCTCAAGATGCACTAAGCAAGGCATTTACACCTATCATAGACTCCATAGCTTTCATCCAAATCATAAAGGGGCCCACACACTAACACAACCACACTCTAGACTTAATACTGACCTTTGGTGTAGACATAGATAACTTAGCCATGCTCCCCCAGAGCACAGCAGTCTCAGATCATTACTTAATCTCATACGAAATTCACTTTAGTGGTAATATGCGTTCATCACCATGTTATTGTGTCAAGCGGACAATAACTCCCTCCATAGCTGGTAGCTTTATTAGAAACCTTCCAAAATTATCAGCTTCTGTCAGCTGTCCATCTAATCCTACTGAGTTAGATATTATGACCAAGCTCTTAGAGGAAAATTTTCGATCTACCCTAGATAGTGTGGCTCCATTAAAAAGTAAAATAGTAAGGCAGAAAAAACTCGCCCCTTGGTATAATGAACACACTTGGGCTTTAAAACTGGCGCCTGACTAAGCTAGAAGTGTTCCAGTCCGCCTGGAAGGAGAGCCTTATAGACTATAGAAGAGCACTTGCTACAGCACGCTCAGCCTACCTCTCCTCTCTCATAGAAAACAATAAGAATAATCCTAGATTACTTTTCAACACAATCTCTAAAATAACAGAGAATAAAACAGTTAGTGAACCCCAGATGCCATCAACCTATAGCAGCAATGATTTTATGAATTTCTTTAGTGATAAAATTGAAAAACTAGGCAGAAAATTCAGAATACACAATTAAACTCTATAAACCTGCTGCCTTATAATGCCAGCCTCAACCTTGAAAATATTATAATCCCTGCAGAGAGGCTGGAATCATTTACCTTACTCCAAGAAAATGAACTAGTTAAAATAGTCTCTTCCGCAAAATCATCTACTTGTATGTTAGATCCGATTCCTACAGGTTTACTCAAGGAAATTTTGCCAGAAATAACCAAGCCTATTCTGTCAATAATAAACTCTTCTCTTAGGGTACATCCCAAAATCTCTTAAACTAGCAGTAATTAGACCGCTGATTAAGAAAGTGAACCTCGATCCATGCGAACTATCAAATTATAGACCCATCTCGAATCTCCCCTTTATATCAAAGATCTTGGAAAAAGTTGTAGCAAAACAATTAAGCTCCTATTTGCATAGGAATCAAATACACGAAAAATTTCAATCAGGTTTTAGGCCACATCATAGTACAGAAACAGCACTAGTACAAATTGTAAATGATCTATTATTATTTTCTGACCAAGATAATGTGTCCTTGTTAGTCCTCCTTGATCTTAGTGCGGCATTTGACACAATAGACCACGCTATCTTACTAGACAGACTAGAAAACCTTGTAGGGGTAACAGGAATAGCTCTTTCCTGGTTCAGGTCCTACCTCACTGATCGGTATCAGTTTGTTAATATAAACGGTGAATCATCTGTTCTCACAAAAGTAAAGTATGGTGTTCCACAAGGCTCTGTTTTAGGACCTGTATTATTCACATTATATATGCTACCACTGGGCACCATTATCAGTAAACACGGCATAAATTAAAATAAATCAGTTATATTTAGCAAGCGACCCAGATGATAAAATTAAACTTAGCAAGATTGAAGACTGTATAAAAGACATAAAGGACTGGATGTCGAGTAACTTTCTCCTTCTAAACTCGGATAAAACAGAGGTTCTGCTTTTTGGTCCAAAAGCAGCTAGAAACAAACTGTCTGATTTTACACTTAAACTTAACAATTATGTGATTATATTATAATGATTATAAAATTCTCTTACTGACTTACAAAGCACTAAACGGACTCGCCCCTCTGTACCTGAGTGAACTTCTCTCTCACTATGAACCATCACGCCTACTTAGGTCACAAGGTGCTGGCTTACTATTAGTACCTAGAATTAATAAAGTTACATTAGGGGGGAGATCTTTCTCATACAAAGCCCCCCGGCTTTGGAATAGTCTTCCTGTTAATGTTCAGGACTCAGACACAGCCTCAGTGTTTAAGTCTAAGCTAAAAACTTACTTGTATAGTCAAGCCTTTGGTAATTAGTTTTTCCTGTCAGTTCTATACCTGCCAGAGTCTCTGCTAACACTGTAATTTGTGATCGGTCACCCATTACAGAACTGACTCTATGTGTTTTCCTTTCTTTTCTTCGCCGAGTTGAACAGCTGCCCATCCTGTGCATTCTGATGCTGCTGCCTCTTCTGCCTTGATCGGGTGCCACTGCTTGCCAGCCCTCTGGACTGGCTTACCAACATCGAGCCTCTTGCTGTACAACGCCGTGCAAACCTCACCCTCACAACCTGACCCCACCCCACTGATACTACTGCTGTTGCTACATGAACTAATCAAAATTAATCATTTGAACTAATCAATCATTTAAACTAATCAAATTAATCAATCACCCATTACAGAACTGACTCTGTGTGTTTTTCCTTTCTTTCCTTTGCCAAGTTGAACAGCTGCCCATCCTGTGCGTTCTGATGCTGCTACCTCTTCTGCCTTGATCGGGTGCCACTGCTCACCGTGCAAACCTCACCCTCACAACCTGACCCCACTGATGCTGCTGCTGCCGCATGAACTAAACTAATCAAATTAATCGTTTGCTCCATCTCTTTTCCCTGTTTTTGTATTGTGATACTTTATACTAACAATGTTTACTATCCGGTGTCGACCAGAGGAGGATGGGTTCCCCTCCTGAGTCTTGGTTCCTCTCAAGGTTTCTTCCTGTTTCTCTTAGGGAGTTTTTCCTTGCCACTGTCGCCACTGGCTTGCTCGTGGGGGCTTGGACCCGGATTTCTTTTTGTAATGCTGATTTCCTTGTAAAGCTGCTTTGTGACAACACCTGTTGTAAAAAGCGCTATATAAATAAACTTTACTTACTTACTTAGCTGAGGTAACTTACCATTAGCATTTTTCTGTTTATCTAAAGACTGGCGGTCTTTCTCTGTGTAAATTTGATCATGTGATCTACTGTGGCTTTCTGTGGTCTTCATATGGCTTTAATATAATGCAGAAATGGCAAAATGCTGCATGGTGCGCTGTGATGTGCTGAGAAACGGAAAAGTGCTCAGAATCATGGAGTACTGGTATGTGTCAGCACAAAGTGTTGGCGCCAGTGTGTATACCTCCATTAAAAACAATGCTGCGCTATACAACACAACGCGGTGTGTTTGGTGTGTGGTGGCCTTAACACTACAATGAGCACTTCCAGCAGAAAAACACAGAAATGTGTAAAAATGCCAGTGCCTCAAAGCATGTGGAACTGTTCAGTAATCTCTAATAGACTTGATTATGTGGTTTGTGACACTGTATGAATCACTGTGCACATGGACATGGACACAATTCAGGCTTCAAGATACTTCTGCTGTTTTTAGCTATTTTAGTTACATTTAAGATGACTTAACACCTCCATGCACTTTGAGTCGAATGTGTGATGATTTCGACACACAGTTTGAATGATTTGGTGGGCAAGCTTCTATTACTTAGCTACATTAGCATCATAACTCCAGTGCTAAAACTAAAGAAGTAAAATTCAGGTATCAAACGGCATCTGGCTGACTGACTACATTTGGGAAAAGAAATGTTAATTTGATTTTGATTTGCCAAACTTTTCCTATTTGAGATGTATGACAAGCGTGTGTTTAAGTGTACTGTGTATGGGTGTGTCTGTGTGTGCCTATGTGTACTGTGGGTGTGTTTATGCATAATGTGTGTGTATGTTTATGTTTACTGTGTGTGTGTTTGTGTGTGTGTGTGTATGTGTGTACTGTGCTCTGTGGACTGGACAGCAGGCAGGTAGTTTTAGTAAATACCTACATCCTCTCCTGTGTGTCTGACACACACACACACATACACATTCTCTCCCCTGTTGTGTTTTCTCTGGAGGTCACTGCTGAGAAACACCTGCTGAATGTTCAGAGCACCTGTCAGAACTAAACTCTTTCTCTCTCTGCCTCTCCTCTGTCACCTTTTTACCTCCCTCACTTTCATTTTCTTCTGTTCCTTTATCTTTCCCATTCTCTCATTTCTCTCTCTTTGTCTCTTTCACTCTCTCTTCCATATCGCTCTCTGCCTCTCTCTCCTCATCTCTGTCTATATCCCTCTCCCTGTCTCATCTCTCTTCCTCCTGTCCTCTTCTCTCCCTCTGTTTTTCTCTCTGCCTTACCTCTCTCCTCAATTCTATCTCTTTAACTTCCCTACCCTCTCTCTCCCATCGCATATCTTTCACTGTCTCACTATCTCCTCTCTTTCTGTCCATCTCTCTATCCTTCTCTACCTTACCTCTCTCTGTCCCTCTCCCCCTGTCTTCTTCTCTTACCTCTCTTCTCATCTCTCTCTTCCCCCTTCCCTCTCTTTTCCTCTTTACTTCTCTTTCCTACATCTCTTTCATCTCATCACTCTCTCTCCTCCCTTCTCTTCATTCCACCTCTCTCACTCAATCTCTCTCTCCTTCTTTACCTTACCTCTCTCTCTCCATCCCTCTTTCTCCCTCCTTCTCTTCCCTCATCTCTGTCCTCGCTCTCCTCCCTTCTTCCCTTCTCTCTCTCTCTATCTCTCCTTCTTTACCTTACCTCTCTCTCTCTGTCCCTTTTCCTCCCTCCTTCTCTTCCCTCATCTCTCTGTCCTCGCTCTCCTCCCTTCTTCACTTCCCTCCACCCTCCTGACCTCTTTGCATCTCTTTCACTGTCTCTCTCTCCATCTCTTTCTGTCCTTCTCTCTGTCCTTCTCTACCTTACCTCTCTCTCCTTTCCTCTTCCTCCTGCCTTCTTCCCTCACTTCTCTTCTCATCTCTCTCTTTCCCACCTCTCTCTTTCCTTATCTTTCTCTCTCTTTCTTATCCCTACTTCTTTCTTGTCTCATCTTCCTCTCTCTCCTCTCCCCCCCTCTCTTCTTCTCCCCCTTCTCCTCTTCCCTCTGCATCTCTCTCCCTGGCTACCTTCTCTCTTTCTCTTGTTCTCTCTTGCTGCCTGCATCTCATTTCCTCTACTGACTCATTTCACTTTCCTGTGGCCGCTTTGTTTTTAAAACTACACCTTCCTCGCTCTCCACTGATTCTATTGAATCTCTTTTGTTCTCTTTTCAGTTGGTCATGAGAGTGAACAACAGGGGGAGCTCAAGAGCTGTGTGTGGACTCAGGCTTGAGTGAAGCTGCATACCTGCATGATGGTTTGGAGAGCATGTTGGGGTATTCACAGACTCCGTTGACGCAGTAATTTTTGTAGTGTTCGGGACAGGGGATGTAAAGTCCTCGTGCCACTTCTGACACCTCAGGCTTCTCTTCTACAATACACATGCACATGCACAAGGTCACCATTAAGCTTGAGCTTAAAAGATCTGTGATTATTGTAACAATGAATGGAGTCATCAGAAAAATTTCTGCATAATGTAATCACTAAAGTCATTCAGAGTGGTCTGGTGTGAGATGCTTCATTGTAGAGATGTCTTTAAAGGCAGACTGCATGGCTAGGTGCTTGATTTTATGCACCTGTGGCAATTGGACTAAATGAAACAGGTGAATTTAATGATGAAGAGATGTGTCCCAATACTTTTACAGTCAATGTATATATGTATATACAATGTATACAGTTAATGAGTGCATATATCATATACATCATATATACACTCAGTGAATGTATATATCATATATATCAATGAATGTATAGATCATTTTACTTGTATGTGAAATGTTCAAAAACGTCTTGAACAGGTGATGCAATCATACTTGTATGTAAAAGAAACATCCAGGAAAGGCCTAGATCTGTATGAGTGAGGATGATCAAGACTTGCTACTTTGGGCAAAAATGCATCAGCAAAAAAATCTAGCAGAAAATAACATTCCTTAGCCAGGGGCTGCAAGAATTTTAGGTATTTCACTCTCAACAGTGCATAATAACATCAAAAGATTCAGAGAACTCAGACAAATCTCTATGCATTAAAGAAAAGGTCGAAAAAAACAAACGGATGCTTTTGAGCCCTTTGTCAGCATTGCATTAAAACTTTGCATGCTTCTGTAATGGATATCATTGCAATAGACTTGGGGATACTTCGAAAAACTATTGTCAATAAACACAAAAAAGTTAAGAACAAAAGTTACGACTGTACTATACACAATAAATCATATATCAACAATGTCCAGAAACGTTGCCGACTTCTCTGGACTTTTTGAGCTCATCTGAACTGGACTGATGCTCAGTGGAAATATGTTTTGTGGTCTGACAAGTCAAGTTTTCAAACTGTTTATGAAAATATTGATATCATGTTCTTCATTCCAAAGAAATACAGTTCTATTAATATTGTTACCAGCATAAACTTCAAAAGCCAGAGTCTGTCATGGTCTTCGGGAAGGTGAATTAGTGGCTAACTTAACCAATTTAACCACCATTAACACTAAAAACATTTCGAACCAATGTGCTGCATTTTAGATGCTGTCTTTTTTCAGGGACACCCATGCTTATTTCAACATGACAAAAAACAAGCCATATTCTGCACATTTTACAATAGCATTACTGCATAATCAAGGAGTGCAGGTACTAGACTAGCCTGCCTCCAGTCCAGAACCATCTCCCATTCGAAATGTGTGTCTTATTAAGCTCAAAACTGAACAACAAAGGCCCAGTATGGTTGCACAACTGAAGACTTGTGTAATAGACAAATGGCAAAAGATTTTATTAAGGAAAGGTAATGTAACACAGTGGTAAACATGCTGTAATATTGACAAAAAACATTGAAATTTATAAGATAAAACATTAAATATTGTGTTTTTGTACCATTTTTAATTTAGTACAGGTTAAACAGAATTAACATATTACTCCTTTCTGTTTTTATTAGCATTTTATATACTGTCCCAACTATTTTGGAATTAAGTTTGTACTTTTACCAGTAAAAGCGGCAGTTTTTGGTATGAAAGGCATTTTTGTGGTACTTATAAAGAGGTCAACACCCCCCCAACAAAAAAAAACTCACCTGGGTAGTCGGCCCTGGCATAGTGTCCGTCTCCAGGTTTATTTCCTGTTATCATGTCACCTGATTGTTAAAATGATGTCAAAGGTTACAACAAGTAGACTGTCATTTAAACTGCTATTTAATCATTAAACTGTAACCTAAATTGTCATTTAGTCATTAAACTGTAACTTAAATTGTCATTTTGTCAGCATCTGTGCCACAGCTGCTGTGCAACTGACTCAGGTGATGTTATTACACTCATTAACGACATTTTTGCTTGAACAGTACATTTGGCCAACTGTCCATCCACAGCAGGTGGCCACTAAGCAACAGAACTTGAAAATACTTCAGACATAATGTGTCTATTAGTGATATATATTACAGTATGTATGTATTTTTAACATCCTACTGCATAAAAAGGTCCAGCAAACTCCTAAAGCGATAGTTTGGCAAAAAAAAGTTTTCTCCTTTCTCACAGCCCAAATGTGGTCTATGAGCTGAGATATGTTCAGTGGAAGTTTGCTTTTTTAGTAGTCTTTAGCAGTGGAGTTATGAGGCTAATGTAGCAAACAAATAATGGAAGCTTTTATTCACAAATTATCATAGTGGAGACTGTGTGTCAAGCTGTTAAGTGATCTCAAATAATCTTTTTTTATGAGAACTCTGACACTGTACGACGCACTGTTATATATAATAATGGAAAAATTATACTGTCTAGCTAAAAACCTTAAAACTACACTGTTAAAAGATATGGTTGTTCAAAGACAATGATTCTATATAGAACCATGGACACTCAAAGAACAATTTGGATACAGAACCATTTTCAAAAAGGTTCTATACAGAATCATGTACAACACATTCTTCATCAATCTGAAGAACCATTTCACCATGCAAAAAAGCATTTAACTATGCAAATGGTTCTTTGAGGTTCTATATAAAACCTTTTACTAAAGAATCCTTGAAGAACCATCTTTTTAAGAGTGTAGCTCTTATACTTTAAAGTCTGAATTTTACCTGGGAATTTCTGGTTGTGCCCACTACAGTAAAAAATAAATAATTTACACATTTTAATTAATCCATGTTTATAGCAACAGTACGTAATATAATGTCAGCAATCACGTACACAAGTTTTTCTGAGATTACTTAACATGGCTTGAAGCAAGTGTGTGATGAAGCCTGCATGATGCTAATCGTTTCAGACAAGATTCTATTACTTGTTAGCTACATTAGCCTCATGGCTCATAGCAATGCAAAACTAAATAAGTAATCTTTGCACACCAAAAATATCTCAGCCGGCTAATAACATCTGGAAAAGAGGGAAAATTCCAAACTCTTCCTTTAACCCTCTATTGCATGACTTATGAGAAGTTTCAAAACATATTTTAATTCAACTAGCACTAATAAAATGTGAAAAGGGAAGTGATGCAATAAGTCAAAGCAGTCATGTTACAAAATGAACCAATCACACAACGCCACATGTGGCGCCGGGAGTGGATAGCTTCCACATGTGCAGTGCAGAGTTTGCTGGAAGCCCCCTTTCGGACCAGCCCCTGGCTCGAAAACAGCTTTCACACTCACCAAACTGAACTTGCAGAACAAGTGGTCTGATGTTTTAGTGTGAAAATGTCCTAACTGTAGCTTTACGATGGTTGTCATGATTAGCCTATGTAGGTAACATGCAGTAAAGTGTTACTGAAAAAAGGGTTTGTTACTCTAAAGCCCTGTTGGAGCTGGATTAGTTGTACCCGTTGAGTTACTGCAATTTGAGTGATTACTGATAAAATCCGTGATTTCAATCCAGCATGAATATGCAACGTCTGTAGTTTCTACAAGTCTCCTAAGTAATAATTCCAGAGTGAATTACCTTTTAGAATTTGCCAAACTTGGAGTTCCCTCATTAATAGTAGTCCTGTTCAAAACGACATCATAGGAATGTCAAAATTTTCTGTGACCTGAAGACAAGACTAACAGTTAAATGGAGCTTAATTAGACCCAAGTCCTTAATTCTTTAACCTGAATCGTGACAAAACTACCGAAAGCCACGACACTTAGGGTTTCTATTGGCACCATATTTGCCATTTAGCTGCACAACATATGGTTATTGTTCAGGAGTGTGGAGCCTGACGTAAACGTCTACGCAATGATGTTTATGATGTTTGGATCTGGGTTATTTGGGGTAATTTGGGGAAATTACACAGATCCCGTATGAATCAGCCAGTAAATTCACACACACAGATTACATCAGCTCTGGAAAAGCAAATCCAGCTCAAAAAGGGCTTAACGCAATGGCATGCAATGGAGGGTTAAATCACAGGAGGTGGAGGTAGGAATCAGGCGGAAATATTAAAAAGAAAGAAAGAAAAAGTGCACTCTCGCCTTGACAGTGGCCCAGGAACTTCACTTCGATCCGCTCCTGCCTCTGGCACGATGCCTCCTTCACTTGGCAGGGGTTGTCGTAGGAGCGACCATCTGAGGCACACACTGGGTTGAAGCTTATGTGGGAACAGTCGATGTTGCACACACACCTGCATGAAGAGATGGCAACAAAAGTTATTCATATTTATCCTGGATTTGTTGTCAGAAGCTCAGTGATTTCACTTTGATTAATCACAGTGCCATTAATGAGTCTTTTATTAGAATTTTATGCTTTCTAATACTTTATTGGAACCTCCACCTTGTAATTCCACTTACTGTCCACAACATAGTAGCGGTGGGCAATATAACGATATCTTAACATATCATAATAATTACATCTCAATGAGCTTTTCTGAGTATATTGTCGACATTAGTACTTAAAGAAGACTGACCAAGTGCATGTTTAATCACAAAGAGAGCACAAGTAACCCTGTTTTCCAGTTTAACCCTATTGAACTGAGAGAATTGGAGCTATCATGAAAGCACTCACTGAGTGCACAGTTTGGATAGGTAAGCGCTTATTATCGCTTTGTTTAATCAGAATAACAGCAAGCAAGCAAGCAAAGTTTATTTATATAGCGCTTTTTACAACAGGTGTTGTCACAAAGCAGCTTTACAAAAAAAATCAGCATTACAGAAAGAAATCCAGGTCCAACCCCATGAGCAAGCTAGTGGCGACATTGGCAAGGAAAAACTCCCTAAGAAACAGGAAGAAACCTTGAGAGGAACCAAGACTCAGAAGGGGGAACCCATCCTCCTCTGGTCGACACCAGATAGTAAACATTGTTAGTACAAAAACGGGGGAAACAGGTGGAGCAAATTATTAATTTGATTAGTTTAGTTTATGCAGCAGCAGCATCAGTGGGGTCAGGATGTGAGGGTGAGGTTTGCACGGCGTTGTACAGCAATAAAACCCCACTGGTGTAACAACTATATTCCTATTCATGAGTTTTCTGGTTTAAAAAAAAGAAGTTTGTAAATTAAGTAAATGCAATAACAGCACTGAGAAATTACACTATTAATAGAGAAGCACAGATTAAACAACAGATATAGCCACATCGTAGCATCTACCTTAAAGGGTTAAATAAATTTAACAAAAATCACCATATTCCATAATCACACCAGTTTTTGACAGTATTTTTTAAATGTGACTGTTTTTGCCATATAACCCTCTTCTACAATACTGATGTATGATTACAGATTGTAGCATATCTGTTGTCATGAAAAATCTGTCAGCTGCCCTCTACTTCATACATCATGGGCAAGCTTCTGACCAAAGGACTGCTGTTGACCAGATATCATTTGGTTGGTGGGCCATTCTCAACACAGCAGTGACACTAATGAAGCAGACAGTAAATGTAAGTAAGTTTCAAACATTCAGTGTCTATCAACAGTATCATGGTATTAGCTGTCTAGCCTTCTTATTCTCACGTCTGAATAAAAATTACCATTATTTGTGTCAGTGCTGCTATGAATAAACACCACAGCCTTCTAAAGCCTCAGCTTCTATTCATGAACCATAGCTGTGTTAAGGTCAGCGTTTTCTCCAATATCCTGAAAGAAACAATAAAATACACAGCCTTTTTCCCCCTTGAACGCCTGCATTAGCAAGGACTGAAATAAAGATTAGCCTGCATGACACTTGAAGGTCTAAAGAATGATGTGCTACAGTGTTGTCTGCAGTGTTTACCACTGTGGAAAATATTTTTTCAGTTAAGGCTGGTAGTTGCATCTCTGCTCCTACTGGTAAGCCTCACAGTCTTAAAGGCTGGTGGTAACAGAGCTTCATCACCATTAGTCAGCCTCACAGGCTAGTAGCAACTTGCTTTAATTATGAAAGTAACATTTTAGACTTGCAGGCTGATGTTTACATAGCTCCACCCTTATAGCAATATTAGAGAGCAGGCACAACACATTTTGGTGTTTGCGAAATAATTTCAAAATATTTAAGTTGAAATAATCATATTTTTAAACAAGCAACATATACATCTCTGCTAGAACAGTGAACATTGTTTCTCACACCTACTGTTCATTTACAATTCCACTGAAAATTCCACATAGGTGTAACACTTGCTAGAAAAGTCTGATGAATCAGTGGAATCAAAGTTAATACAATAAAAACGTTGTAAAAAAAAACAATTATATTTTCCAACTATACTGCATTATATATTATCTATCTATAAGACAGTCCGCTCAATCAACAGATACACACACACACCAGATTATATATGAAAACTGGCATGAGACTGTGCGTCAAACAATGACAAATGTATTTTTGGTGGGCCATTCTCAACACAGCAGTGACACTAATGAAGCAGACAGTAAATGTAAGTAAGTTTCAAACATTCAGTGTCTATCAACAGTATCATGGTATTAGCTGTCTAGCCTTCTTATTCTCACGTCTGAATAAAAATTACCATTATTTGTGTCAGTGCTGCTATGAATAAACACCACAGCCTTCTAAAGCCTCAGCTTCTATTCATGAACCATAGCTGTGTTAAGGTCAGCGTTTTCTCCAATATCCTGAAAGAAACAATAAAATACACAGCCTTTTTCCCCCTTGAACGCCTGCATTAGCAAGGACTGAAATAAAGATTAGCCTGCATGACACTTGAAGGTCTAAAGAATGATGTGCTACAGTGTTGTCTGCAGTGTTTACCACTGTGGAAAATATTTTTTCAGTTAATGTGTTGGAAACGAACAGCAGTGGACACAAATAAAGCAGAATTTGCATACGGCGCTAGCACATCATAATGGGGTTATGTGAGGTCATTATCTTGGGACACAGTGTGCTTTTTAGGCAAGGAATGAATGGTTTTACAGCTCTGCCACATTAGGTAGCCTTGCAGGAAGGTGGATACACAACTCAGCCCCACTGGCCAGCCTAGGTAGTAGCTGTATGCTTTTGGGCCCATTGGGGTTGATCAGCCAAAAACTGGTGGATGCACAGTTCCAAGCCCATTGGTTAGCCTCAAAGGCTTGTGGTTACACAGCTTCACCCTATTAGTCAGCTCATCCCTAGTGACATGATGTATATCTAAGCAGAGGCTAGTAGCTGTACTCCCATTGGTCAGCCTCATAGACTGGTGGTTGTACCACTTGAGTTGGTTAGCCTCAAAGGCTGGGGGTTATGCAGTTCTGAACCCATTAGTCACCTTGAAAGGCTGGTGGTTACACAGTTCACCCCCCACAGGGTTTAGCCTTGTAGGCCGGTTGTTCACAGTTCTGATTGTGATAACACAACTTCACTCCCTTTGGTCAGCTCATAGTTACACAGCTCCACCCTACTGGCATGAGATCCTATTAAGCACTCCATCTGGTCACATAGACGGTGGTTACACAGACCTGCCTTCATTATTCAGACTCAGATGCTGGTAAAAGAGCCTTTATTCCCATTAGTCAGTCTCACAGACTGGTGATTACAAATCTCCATCCCCATTGGTCAGCCTCAAATTGACCCCTGAAGAGACTTCTTAGCCTTGCAGGCCAGTGGTTACACATCTTTGGCCCCATTGGTCAACCTTATAGACTGGTGGTTATGGCTCTGCTTCCACTGGTCAGCCCTAGAGGTTTGTGGTCATGCATCTATTGTTGAAAACAGCTTTTTAGCCATGAAGGTACTTTTTAGCATTATAGAGAGGTGGTTACACAGCTCCACCCCTGTTGGTCTGCCTTACAGGCTGCTTGTTATGCTGCACCATCCTATTGTTATGAGATACTTTTAGCAATAAAGGTGATTTTTAGCCAAGCAGGCCTGTGGTCACATACTCTTGTCTCCACTGATCAGCCTCACAGGCTCAACACATTTTGGTGTTTGCGAAATAATTTCAAAATATTTAAGTTGAAATAATCATATTTTTAAACAAGCAACATATACATCTCTGCTAGAACAGTGAACATTGTTTCTCACACCTACTGTTCATTTACAATTCCACTGAAAATTCCACATAGGTGTAACACTTGCTAGAAAAGTCTGATGAATCAGTGGAATCAAAGTTAATACAATAAAAACGTTGTAAAAAAAAACAATTATATTTTCCAACTATACTGCATTATATATTATCTATCTATAAGACAGTCCGCTCAATCAACAGATACACACACACACCAGATTATATATGAAAACTGGCATGAGACTGTGCGTCAAACAATGACAAATGTATTTTTTGTCCAGTGTACACAGTACAGAGTTTGTACTTAAGCTAAGCTAGCTGCTGTAAGCTTGTCACATGCTTCAAAACGGTGCTACATTGTTGGCAACATGATGGTGATTAAAGTAATATAAGGTTGGATTTTGTGATTACGGTTTACGATTGGATTTTCGGTTACTGAGCTGCAAACAGCTCACTAACCAAAAAAAAACTTACTTACATGCCCTGAGAACACTCTTTAGAACAGATCTCTTTAAACGCTGACAAATCGCTCTGAATTTTTGCAAGAGACCCCAGCTAAGAAGTGTGGTAATGTGGCCAGAAGCACACTGTGCTTGACCTCGTGTAACAACATAAAAATCTGAAATTCTTAAAGTGTTAAATTGTGCCCTGCGTAAGGTTGTTCCCCGCGCTCCCCTACATTCTTTTTAGCCATGGTACGTTTTAGCCTCGCAGGCTGTATGTGCATATATCATGGCCTTGTTTTATGGCAAAAAACTTGAGAGGACGTGATTAGCAGAAAGCATCAGGCAGGATGGAGCAAGTTTCTGGGCTGCTTCCGAGCTCCACTGGCTCTAATGGCCCTTTGCTTGTTCTAGCGGCTGTTCTTAATCACATATGCCTTCATTAGTGAGGATGTAGCCTAATGAGTGTTTGACTGAGCATGTGAAAGACACAGACACAGAGAGAGCTAGAGAGAGAGAGAGCGGGGGGGAAGATGAGAAGACGACAGCAGGTGCATTCTTGTAAGTGTACATTTCAATACGCCTCAGGGTGTATTATCGAGGGTATATGAATATAACGATATCCAAACTCATCTTAGTATTTGGTTACTTAATTATGTATTTGAATAAGCCATGTGGAGTTTGAACAAAAGAAAGACACGGTGTATTATCTTATTGTATCTTATTAAAGATATTAAGATAAAATTAATATCCTCTTTGTTTGAGGGACATACT